ATTAATTTAAAAATTTATTTAAAAATTTTAACAATAAATTAATAAATATCACATTAATTAATTACACCTCTAATCAGAATAAAATTTCATTTTATTAGAATAATATATGCTCTTTTTCTAAATTATCGCTCGTATTTCCAGATAATTTCTAATATGAATGAAAAATTTTAATTATCTACTTAATATTTAAATAAATGGGAGTCTGGTCAATAACAAACGGGAATTAATTTCTAAACAAATTAATTGTATTTCTAATTTGAATACAGTACAAAGTCCAAAATCCGGACGTCCATTATCTGGAATGATCTAAAATCTAGATCTCCAAGCCACAAACATTGGTTATTTTGTGCTTTACACTGTAAAATGCCTGCTGGTGGTCGATTAATGTGAAATTTCTGCACACTTTCGAACAAATGGGAAAGGAAACATTGATTGACTGGTGTGTAAATGAATATTTAAATGGCCTCATTCACCTCTTGGTAAATTACACAGTGAGATTTAAGGATTTTGAAACTTTAGTTCACATCAACATTACACAAGGTATGTGGGGTTAATAAAAATGGATTTTCGAAAGAAATGCTACTGACTGTCTGGAGGATATTTTTCTTTTACTTTTGTGAATTAATGTGGTGATGGCAGCATACAGATTCTAGTTAAGATAACTTTGGTTGATCTTTGGATTATGGTAACTTGGCGATTTTTTCAAGACCAACTCTGCTACAGCAACCCTCTGTTTTTTTTTCGCCGCCATTTTGTCTTCACGAAGTAAAGACATGTTTCTTTTCTTTTTATTTACTCAACACTTTTTCCAACAATCTACTAGCCAAATTACACTTATGCTAGAAATTTTATGGAACAAAACTGCTTAATCATGACAAATATTAACTGCAAAATTGGAAAAAAGTGCAGAATCGCAAACTCCTTGCCGCGTTTTTCAAAATCGCACATACACAGTAACCATGTACATGTCGACTTATTTTTACTTAAAAAAACATCCCAGAATTGCACAAAAATGGCATTGCGCACACTCTTGACTTTATCCATCTAAACTGCTATTTTCTCATAAATTACAAAAATTTGTACCAAAATGCAGGAAAATTTTGTGAATCTTTAAACTTGGTAAAAAGCATATATATGAAATTACCTGATCGCGAAAAATTATATACCCTATCCAAGGATGAACATTTCCACATAGAATATAAATAAAATATCCAAAAACTTTTACCTCTAAATTATCTATTATAAACGTCACCAATGAATTCATAACAAAACATTAAAAATGGTTACAAATACTCAGTGTCAAATATTTAAATTATTTCCATGCACGTTTACTTCCACTCAAATGTATACCAAATTGCTACAAAATATAATTCACAAAATAACTATCATTTAATTAAAATATAATTAAACCATGTACATGTCGACTTATTTTTACTTAAAAAAAATCCCAGAATTGCACAAAAATGGCATTGCGCACACTCTTCACTATATCCATGTACACTGCTTTTTTCTCATAAATTAGAAAAATTCCATGAAAATGCATGAAAATTTTGTGAATCTTTAAATTCGGTAAAAAGGACATATATGAAATTACTTGATTGCGAAAAAGTATATACCCTTTCCAAGGATGAACATCTGCACATATAAAATAAATAAAATATCCAAAAACCTTTCCCTCTAAATTATCTATTATAAACTTCACCTACCAATTTCTAACGCAAACATTAAAAATGGTTCCAAATACTTAGTGTCAAATACTTAAATTCTTTCCATGCACATTTACTTCTAGTCAAACGTATTCCAAAATACTACAAACATATAACTCTCAAAATCACGATCATTAAATTAAAATATAATTTAATTAAAAACACTACTTAAATATAAATAAGCACATACATTAAATTAATAAAATTAGCTTACAATCCTAATGACTTTAAACTAAATCATTGCTAATAACAATTTTCCAATAATACCATATCAATTTATTACTCCTTACATTTAGAACAATGCATAAAAATATCCTCAAATAATTAAAATTACTAACTACCTAATCTTCTACACAATCTTGAGTGCATGGCGGATCACAAAATGTCCATTTTCACCAGATTTCTTGCACCGCCATTCAAACTTATCTGTAATATCCTTCCTTTTACACAATCTTATTTCATACCACATGTTGGACATCATACTTATCCGCAATTAAGCAATCTTTTCAATTACACATAAACGCAATAAAAATTTCGGATTTCTTTATATAGGGCCATGGGATCCAAATATCAAACAACACTGTTTCACAGAACATAGAATGAAACTAATGCTGTACAGCAGATTTTTTACAAAATTACCCCCTTTCCGATTAAGAACAGTGATTCGTCCATTAATGTCACATGACATATCTCATGATCTCTCATTTCCCTCACACAAAATAATGCGTAATCGGAACTGAGTACTTCTCACATTATTCCCAAAGTCCTAGGTAGTAACCTTTATCGGCTCCAAAACGTCACCAAACTACCTGTTACCATATTCCAAAGATCAGCCATAACGGTAAATAGTTTTTGGATGTAGTTTAGGAATTCTCTGTGTCTCACATACCGAAGAAACAGAAATTTTTAAATAAGTATTCCTTTTTGTATTGCATAGATTCCATAACATATATTTTCATTCTTATGTTATTTCCTTGTTTGATTTAAAATGCAGTTTATGAGATTACATATTCCTTGTTTTAATTATGTTTTGGATGTAAATACGAACGGTTCCAAAAAATCGTCAATTTTTGCCCAAGGGCACCCTGAAATACATTTTTACCAATATAAACGGTTTGTTTAAAATGTCTGAATATTTATGCAAGTTCACTGTTATAACTTTTTAAATAATTTTTTTTTAACCAAAAAACATTTTGAATAACTTCTTTTAAAACAAGTAAGTTTTAAACTAGATGATCATTAATATATGTGAATAAAAATAATGCCATTTTGTTAATATTTAGTAACTGATAATTTCAAATAAAACTGAAAATTGGAACAGCCTGAAACTGATAAATGTCACTATAAGACCACCTTATCAATTTCATCATTTCTGTGCATTCTGCACAAGTCATATATCAGCTTTAAAAGAAATCGAAAATTGAAATATCTTTCTGTTTATCTTTGACCCAACTGATAAATTTATAAACATCAGTAGCATTACAGTAGTTGAGAGAAGTTTGTAACTTCAAATATTATATATCTCTATATAGAATTATTTATATGACACATAATAGTAAGTTTAAATCTCTTATCTTATAAGCAATCTTTATTCTACCCCCATGAAAATAAAGAACAGATTGTGTGTTTAGATAAAGAAAATACACTCGAAATAAACAAATGGCCCATATTAAAGCAGAATGCCCAGTGAATTAAAATAAAAGTGTTTACAAAAATAAGCTATACATAACCTCATGAGTGAATTAAAATGATTTACTCAAATACTATCATTAAGTTAAACACCTTTACACGATCAAGAACTTTTAAACTTATGAAGTCTTTGATAAAGACATAAATTACTTTCTCAAGCTTTCAGGACTCCTAATACTTCCACTAAAGTGCAAAATCGCACACATTTTTGTTTGGCGCATTTTACAAGAGTAAGAAGAATTGGATTTTTGTCAATTTTCTTCGACTTTTTAAGTGAAAATAGTCTTTTTTAAATGTAAGGTAATGATTGACAGTTTTTCCATTTCTGATTATAATGTTGCTTATTTTGCTCTGATACCATGCATTTCACAACATTTTTGAATTATGGAATAAGAATACTTATTTTCAGAAAGCGCTAAAGCATATCCTTCAATTCACAGCTTGTTTGCAGGTGCCATTTTGAAAGACGAGTACATTTCAAAGTAGTAGCTGATATTTCTTATTCCAATAATAGTCCGAAATTTTGATTCCAAAACATCTGCTTTTCTTTTTTTTTTAATTCTTTATCAAAATCGTTTTAAGAATGTGTAAAAACCCTCTGTATTGTGTGAGAGAAAACGGTTTGAAGCCCTTAAGAGAACTCATTTCAAAACGATTGCTCAGCCTTATACAAATAAAAGATGCAATCATAAATTGCTAAGTTAGTGATATATTACACGTTATCTCTAGTTATTCTTACAATTTTGTATTATCTTTTTCTTTAATATTTTCATGCAGGAAAGATATTTTTTCATGTATAAATTTAAAGTTTCATTGCCTTTTGTGTTATTGAATGCTTTCTATTATTAATTCATCGTAATGATATTAAAAGACCTTATTTTTTAAGAGGTGCATTATAAATGTTTTTACCCTTAAGAAACTATAAATATTTAGACAATTCAAGTAAAAAAAAAGTGGCAGATTTTATCAATAGCTTATTTTTCACTTCATCTAGAACACCATTTTGAAAGTACTTACATCCTAAATTACTTCGATGTGTACATGGATAAAGTCAAGGGAGTGCATGATGACATTTTTATGCGGTAAAGTGCAGAATCGTCCACTTACTTGGCGCTTTTTACAAGAGTAGGAAAAATTGGATTTTTGTCAATTTTCTTTGACTTTTTAAGTGAAAATAGGTCGATGTTTACATGGATAAAGTTAAGGGAGTGCATAATGCCATTTTTGTGCAATTTTGGAATGTTTTTTTAAATGAAAATATGTCGATGTGTACATGGATACCGAGTATGTGCAATTTTTAACAACGCGCCAAGCAGTGGGCGATTCTGCACTTTCCCCGAAAAATGCAAAATTAAAGATAAATGCAGTATTTAGAGATTTTATTGGTTTAAGTTCCAATCATGGCATAAATTAATAACTGAGATGATCATAAAGAATATCAGAAGCGTATGTTCTCATATATATTGTAAAATCAATAGAATAAGAAATACTTATGAAGTTAAGTTGAACTACTTATCGCATATATTTTTAACTTCAATTTTTACCCCGAATACAAAAACTGCTATTAAACTACATCAAAATCTCCACACACATGGGGGAACTTACCCATGTATAAATTTTCGACTACTTTAATGTCCATCTTAATGGCTACAAAATCCTCTTTACTTTCAGCATCAGCCATTACAATGAAAATGGAAACTTGTAAATCCGAAAAGAAGAAAAAATCACATCGGTAAAGATACTGAAGAATATGAAACACTTAATGTGGAAAACACTTTACATGTATTAAGAAAAAGTCATTTCGGCATTTGTTGACGTCGACATCATACACGGTTGCGGCAGCTTTAAGTTATATGGCTTTAGATAAATAAATATCTCTAACACTAAAATTGCCGAACTATGAAATAAGAAATTTTAACATGTCGAACCATGTTTTATTTTATGTTCCCTTTAATATGCACCCAATAATACAGCATATGGAAGATTGTTTTAAGTTGTCAAAATAATAATACAATTATGAATTTGATTGGCAACAAAGTTATAAAGGGGCGTTAGTTTTGTTTTTGAAGGAAATAAAGCGCTAACGAATTCTGAATTATGTAACTAATGTGAAAAATTCTTCATCTGTGCGTTGTAAAAAGGAATAGTTAATATCGTTACGTTATTAGTTATGGTTGATTTCCTTGCTGAGAATAATGCCTGCGGGCAGTATCTTTTAAGACTTGTCTCCCGCGGAAATGCTATTATTGCTGAGCTTCTTCGATTGTCCGATGTCGTGCCTCAAGTTTTCCGTATGGAAGCGAAATCTGACATTCAGAAATATGGTGATGTCCTCTGTGATTTCAGCTACTTCACAATGTCTGACTTTTACGAAAATAAGATCGAGTCAAATCCTGTGAGTTCGAATAAAAAATATTGCTTTATTTTTCGAATTATTGAATGCATTATACAATTTGTTTTACCTCAATATTTAAAAAACGATCATTGATTTCTGACCTTACAAAAATGCAAGATTAATTCTATCTTTATTCCCAGCTAAATATATTAAATTACTTCACTTCCGTGTTTTAATTGAAATTTATTAGTATATATCTATATTCTTGGAAGAAATATTTAAAAAGTGTCAGAGTGATCTACTAAAATAGTTTTTAAGTTGCAAAATTTATATGTATATATAAATTGAAACTTGATTTTTATATATTTAAATATTAATATTGTTTTCTTGAGCATATTATAGTATACTGGATTGTTATACTGTTTTGAAAATTATGGAATTTGAAACTGATGAATCACTTTGGCTAATCTTTAGAATATGGTAACAGGTAGTTTGGCGACATTTGGTAAGGCGATAAAGGTTACTAGCTAGGACTTTAACAATAAATCTGAGAAGTACACAGTTCGAATCACAGATTATTTGTCTCAGAGAAATAGAGATTGAGACATGTAATGTGACATTTCCGGAAAATTCTGATCGTGATTTTTAGCTAATAAGCACTTAGAAACAATTTCGCTGCTAAAGTGCAGAATCGCCCACTTATTTGTTTGGCACTTTTTACAAGAGTAAGAAGATTTTGTCAATTTTCTTTGACTTTTTAAAAGAAAATAGGTCGATGTGTACATAGATAAAGTCAAGAGTGTGCGCGATAAAGTCAAGAGTGTCATGCGTGAAGGCGACGCATGCGCAGAAAGTTTGTAGCTTTGAGGTCCGGATTATAGATCATTCCGGATTATGGGTGTCCGAATTAACGACTTTTGACTGTACTTAAATATTTGCGGAGCTACTTTAGCTGAAGATGTCAAAATTTCTAAATGCACTTAACTATGGCAGACATGCACGTAACAGTTATTCAGTTTCAACAAGCAACATCCTATTTTTATTATATTACTGTTTATATTATATTATATATATTTGTATATATATATTGTTGTAATCTGAATTCCAGTGCATTCATAAATCGGTTTTGTTATTCCCCCCTTAAACTTTGTTTTAAAATATGCACTTGTGGGATGTACTTGCGATGGAAATAATTATTGTAAAATAGTTGCTGGTAAATATGTATTCTAGCAAATATTTTATCATAATAACTAAAAGGAACAATGCATTGAATCTATTCTTAAAGTCATTGCCACAAAATGTCTACCAGAACAAAAACTGTCATCTAAATAGTTTTTTTATGATTGAGTTTTAGGTTAACCCTTTCGCGACGAGTTTTTTTTTTTTTTTACAACAGAACAATTTTGATAACATAAACTATGAGTAGGGCACTCTAGAATGCTAAGAATTAAGATGTTATATTTTTAGAAAAATTTTGAACACTGATTTAGGACCGGGACATGTATGTCTCATCAGTCCTGACCGTTGGGACATATATGTCCAGTAGTCTTCAATGAGTAATTTTGTAAAGAAAACCAATGATTTTCTAGTCATAAAAAATTACGATGGTATGGTTTGAAACAATCAATGCACAATGGAACATTACACATCGTGCACATTTTAGTGCGTGATTCCTTCTTTTGTTGTGCATATTTACGGCAATGCTGTCGTGTTTTTGTTGTTATTGGCAGATGGTTACCAACATTGAGTAAGCATCGGAATGTTTTGGATGGGCGTCCAGTTCCTCTACGGCTTTGATACTGTGCGTTGAGCTTGAGCCACCAAGGCTTCTGCAAGAGGCACAATGAAATCAAGAAGTGGGGTTTTTCTTATGTTTGAGTTCGCAGTACAGTAATCCATGAGTTGACCACTGCACTTTCATCAATAGGCTAAAAAATACTTTTTTCCACCACTTGCAAGATTTTGGATCTAATTCATAGACATTTGCCATTTGATCTGCAAGGTCTACACCTCCCATGATTTTGTTGTAGAAATTCGATTGCCACAGGGCACTCAAATTCTTCTTTGCTTTCCATCTTTCATGGTGCGATATACTTTTGTGTATTTAGCTTCGTGGCAATTAGCAATTACTTAGCATCATCACTTCCTTTGAATCAAGCCACCACATCGCACACAATGTTCCATTTTTAGTTACGAGAAACTCAGTCTCACCCCTTTTGCTTAGTTTTGTTGCAAAATTAAGAACATCTTTGCATGTCTTGATGCACATACCAACAGAAGGAAATTTCAGGGTTTCCATCAGGTGCACGCTTGTAAAAAATTGGTCAAACGCAAGCATCGCGTCTTTACCTCGGATTGTCTCCGTTAGCTTTGATACTACCCGTTCCCCGAGTGTGCCTTGAATTTCACCCGTTTCTCTTTCAGAATAAATGTCGCTGCCAAATTTGTATCCCTCTTTTCACAGGTTTCATCGGCATATATTGTTTGAGGGATGAATGTCCCTTGAATTTCGTCACTGATTCATCAATAGCTCGATATGAGCTTTCGCTTCGGCACTGTTTGAAGGTTTGTTTCAGACACAAAACAACCTTGTCAATATAATTTGTTTTACTTGCATCTTCTGGTGCAGCAAAATATAGTTTTGACACCAAGGTTTACATTTGTCTCTTGAAATAGCATTTTTTATTGAACGTTTCCCAAAGAAGGATTAGATGACCAATAATGAGAGAATTTCGGCTCCCTATTGTAAGACATGACAAGCATGCATCCAAGGACAAGCATAATTTCAGAGGGGTCTGTACGGTGAATTGTTTGTCAACTTTCGAGTCGTTGTTTTTGCATTGGAGATCAAATCATAAGACTTTTTTGGAAATATCTTCAGAAACATCCAATTCGGTAGCTGAACGATTTAATTGAATAACAACTAGCGATGACTTCTACTGGAATTGTCATTTGAGGTTGGAAAGTTGAATCTGCGTGGAACCATAGATGGTTTGCGCCTGAAGCATTAGCTGATGGTATCTCATCAACTGATGAAAGTGATGCCTTATCAGTATCACTCAAAGCATCGCTGTTCTTTGTATTTTAGGGGAATGGTATCATGATCGATAACCATTTCACACTCGTCCTGAAATCGGATGAGTACTGCAAATTGTGTGTTGGATCTTGAAAATCGGGAATTGTCTATTTTCATCATTCCAAATCAATATCTTCGTCATCTGACTCTTCTAAAATTTTTTTGATTTCTTCATTAGTGAGTCTCCGATGTCGAGTCATTTTAGATTGAATTAATATGTGCCTAAATTAAAAATAAAGCACTTTCAAAAGTAACCAAAAATAATATCTAGAGAAATGCTCACGTAGGACTGTTGGGACAATGTGTTCCTACTATCCAAAATGAGAGGGACAATGTGTTCCTACTATCCTAGACGAGAGGGACACATATGTCCCGATAATAAAATTGGAAATAAAACTTTGCCACTTACCAGTTTATTAGAGGTAATCCGCTTCGTGAGTAACTATATGGTCTTAGATTTATGAATCAATCAAAATTTAATCGAAAATAAGAGGTATTTTCTTAAAACTAAACTATTAACTTTCATAGAGTATGGAATGAGTTGCTACAACACTTAAAAAACGCGGGAATTGCATTATGTATGGTAGTGCCATCTATATTCTGTAAATGACAATACCTTCAAAAATATTGGCAGGACTGGTGGGAATCGCCCATTAGACAGAGAAGCATTCTATCCCAAGAGTATTTTTGAAATTGCTTGGGACGTATGTCCGTTAGCCGAAGGTTAATAACCTAATTCGAAGTAAATATTGTACTTACGTATTATCGCAACAGGTTGCGCTATTGTAATTCAGTAAAAACGTTAATACCAAGAAAATGTACATTATTATTACAGATAATTTTTAATACAGTTTTTTATATATTTTGTTTTAATATAATAGCAATTACCCTTCCGTTTCGAATTGAATAAGTTGCAGATTATTTTTTTCGGCGGAAATCTTTTTGCTATTACTTTTAGCATGATTGAAACCGTATCGCCATACCATGTACACGTTGATATTTTTACTAAAAAAAATCATCTCAGAATTGCAACAAAATGCATTCGCACACTCTGACTTATCATGTACACTGCTATTTTCTCATAAATTCAAAAATTTGCGAAATCAGAAAATTTGGAAGCCACATGCTCTTTTGACAAAATACGTATAACCGTAGGTTGTGTAAGTAGGTCACCAATTTGGCATTTATGCTAATTTGGCCTTGTTGCGATAATAGTAAGTACCAAAAGATATTTGATAAAAGTATATTTACAAGTACCCTTTGGCGAAAAGTGGCGATTTTTGGCGATACATGGATACCGAGTTTGTGCAATTCTTTGACTTCTTATTTTGGCTTTGTGTGTCGCTGCTACACAAATTCAAAACAACAAGTCGAAGAATTGCACAAACTCTGTATCCGTGCACACATCTACTTATTTTCACTCAGATCATCAGAGAATAAAAAAACATGAAAGAATTGCACAAGCTAGGCACTGCACACTCCCTTGACTTTGTCCATGTACACGTCAACCTATTTCACTTAAGGAAACATCAGAGAATTGCACAAACTTGGCGATAAATGAAACAACAACTTCGCGATAATATAAGGGGGGCCGTTCAGTCTACTCTAACCTATATTTTAACACCTGTGTTAGAATTTTTGCAGTTATATGTCATTTTTTTTCTTTAAAAAAATGGGCAATGGTGCCAAGATGGTTGCACTAGTAAGTATTTTAATATGTAAATTTAAGCACATGGTAGGTTTTGGTTTATTGTCTATATTTCAAAAAAGCTGAGTACTCAATGGCCGCCTGGGAACCCACAACTATGTTTCTTATCAAAATATGTAATAATAAAATAATGACAATGTCAAATTAAGCTTCTACTGGGTTCTATAAAAATTTAAAGTTTGGTTTCATTTATTTGTTGCTTCAAGTGAGCTATTTAAAATTTTTATTAATAATAGAGAATATATAAATTCTGATATTGTAAGAAAAGTGTTTTCC